ACAGGAAAAAAAAAAAAAAAAAAAAAACGCGATTGCAAACTGTTTTAGGCAACCGCCCACGACCAGGAGAGAAAAGAAGGAAAAATGCGACTAATCGAGAAGTCCGGTGACCTCTTCGAAGCAACAGGCAGCCTGGCGCATTGTACGAGCGCCGACTTCAGAGTGAATGCCGGCGTGGCATACCAATTCCAAATGCGGTACGACAGAAGGGAGGAGCTCAGGCAACAGCAGTGCGGGGTAGGCGAAGTGGCATTCCTCGGCCTGTCCTGCTATCATTGTTCATTTTACCTAGTGACAAAGCGAAAATTCTACGAAAAACCGAGGTATACTGCCCTAGTCAAAGCCCTCGAAAGACTCGCAATCATGACAAAGCAGTTCAGAATTTTCGACTTGTCAATGCCAAGGATCGGCTGTGGCATCGATGGCCTGAATTGGGACCTCGTAAAAACCTTGATTGAGGACGCCTTCAGGGAAACGGAGGTCACGATAACGGTTTACACGCCTCCTGGGAACCACAACTAATGGCAGGTGGGAAGTCGCCAAAAAGATCACACGGTAACCAGGCGGGTGTAAGACCAAGTGAACGGAGGACCAAAAATGTGTGTGTGTGTGTGTGTATATGCGTGTATCCAAAACACAATCGTGTGCCTCCACACTTGTCCATGTAACCTTGTGTGCGTATGTAATCATGTGTGTAAACGCAAACTCAATTGCGTATATAACCGAGTGTGTTTTGTAAATCAGGGGAGGAGGAGGAAGTTACCGTTAACTACAGGTGATACAACCCACCCCCTCTACTTTTAGAAAATTTAAGTTCTTTCACCGAAAAAAAAAAGGAGTGAACGTTGGGTAGCAAATTTAAGGACTTAGACTGTATGCAAAGGGGCAAGCCCTCCCTAGATTAGCGTTTAGGGCAGTGCCACAACATGTAGCAGCACATTTGTGTGTGGGCGTGTGTGTGAGTTTGGTTTAATTACATTAATAAAGTGTGGAACTGTTGAAGAATTTTTCCCGTTCACAAATAATTAATTTCCTCAGGACTCCACACGGCCGCAAGCCGAGACCGCTCGCATCTCTGTTCCAGCATCAACCCGCCAACTGAAGAGGGGCGCCGCCATGACGCAGAGATTCTTCCTCGCGATCCTGCCACTCGCACTGCTGGGCGGGCAGGCAGAAGCGCTCGCCTCTCTTAGGGCTTTTGACTGCCGAAACACAATTTTTAATTTGACAAAAGTAGACCTGACAAGCGCGCAGCCGTGCCCGCCCGCGGAGGCGTACACAGCGCCGACTCCTCGCAATATCCAAATAGTGCAGCGAAAAGAGTTTAGGGCTCTATGGGTAAAAACCTGCCGAGTTAGATCAACCCAGAGAATATACGCGTGCCACTTGGGACCCGTGAGATACGGGACCAGCAACAAGCTGCTATACATTCACCGGCACGAGTGCGAAAGAGCTCACAGCGACGAGAGAGCTTTCTCAGTATTAAACCACACAATCAGGGCGGTCAAAATAAATCAGACAACAGACCACTGGGTCCAACTGCTGGGAGACGTAAACAGAAACGGGGAGTGCTGGTTCGGGGAATACCAAGTGGGCATCCACCACTATCCAGCGGTGGAAGTAGAAGCCTCGTTAACAACTTTGATGCGACAAATGCACGTGCCACTTAACACGGAAACATCCATGGTAACCCTGCCCGACGGGACCGAATGCAACTACGGGGACCGAGAATGCAACTCGGAAGAATATGGAAAAGTGGTATGGGAAACAGAGCCAAGGGCAAAATGCAACGTGGAGTATGACACGCTTTACAGAGGTCCAGCAAACCAAACAGCGTTAGGGCCGGGCCACGCGATAATTACCGTCGAGTCCACCCACCATCTGTCAGCTCTTCAAGTATCATTGAACGTGTTTACGAGAGTGTGTGGCGTCGCGGCACTCACAACAGAGCACGCAAACATATACGTAGTAGACTGGGACGGCGGGGAGACACCGTTTGCTCCACAAAACCCGCTATACCCCCATAACACAAACCTAAAGGTTTACATGGACATCAAGGATTTCTTTATCAGTTCCACAGCGCACATGCGCCTGGAACACTTGAGTCACTGGGCAGCGGACCAGATGTGCCAGCTGAGGCGTAGCGATCTCCTGCGAGCACTGGCTCTAGGGCGGGAAAACCCACAGGAGCTGCTCCGGCACCTAACCACGGAGCCGGGGTACACTATTTCAGTCAGAGGAGGAGTCGGATACATCATGAGGTGCAAGGAGACAAACGTGACCACCCGGGCGAGCGTAACCTGCCACGAGCACTGGCCGGTGCGACGGGACGCGGAGGACCTCTTTCTGGACCCCGCCTCGCTCGTCCTTAAGGAAGTAAGTCCAATCGTGCCATGCTCAGACGATCTGCCCCTCATGCACAGGCTAGGGGGTGTGTGGTACGAAATCACGCCAGCCGTGCAGGTCGCGGAGCGACCCCCCGCCCAGTTGTCCCCAGTGACCGCAGCCCCACCTAAATTTCACCTGCAGACGCTTCTTTCAAAGTCGGGACCTTACGACGGAAAATCGATGAAGGATTTATTAAGAACGTTTCAGTTTCAGGACTCAAAGGAAGCAATCGTTGCGTCAATTGCAGACCTAACACTCCCGAGCACCAGAGACGCGTCAAGCGCCCCGCTATTCTTGAACTTACTTAGCGACGCAGACATGCTTACTTTGGCATCGAGAATACTCGCAAAAATACTCGCGTTCGCGACCTGGTTCGGTAACTGGGCTTCGATTTTCGTCAGCCTGACAATTTTCACGTTCGCAATCAGGTCCCTCGTGGAAAACATAGTATGTGGGCGAATATTAGTAGCCATTTTCGGCGGGGAGCCACCCAACCGCACCGGCACCGGAAATGGAAAACCCCCGACGCCAGGAGGTCGGGAAGCGGAGTGGCTCGCTAGCGCTACAGATCGCAAGCGCTACGGGTCACAAGCGCTACAGCGGTGGGCGCTACCGGTCGCAAGCGCTACCGCTCACAAGCGCTACAGCTCACGACCGCTACAGATCGCAAGCGCTACGGCTCACAAGCGCTACAGCTCACAACCGCTACGGGTCACAAGCGCTACGGCGGGAATCCGAGTGATAGGCGGAACTGACTGTAGACAGGGCCGCGAGCGAGATCAAGCCGCCGATCTCACCGTGTATGAGAAAGAAGCAATGCGCTGCTCCTTCGGAAAGCCTTGTCGTGGAAGCGGTATCATGTAATAACAGTTTTACAACAATCGGTGATTTCTTTGCCGTACTAAATAGTAAATAGGCTATAAGACAAACATATAAATTAATTATGTTGTTTGTAGGGAATTTGTAATACTTGACTCTGAAAAATTGTAGTACCGGGTACAGGAACATTTTCAATGGTCGTACAATTACAATTGAAAATTGTAAATTTACAAGCACTGCGCATCGACTTGGAATAGAACAACCAGCAAGAACGGGAGGTTCGGCATGTACGACACGTTCTATACATGGTAAATTACATAACCAACTAAGAAATGCAATATCGTACTGACGTCAAAATCTTATTTCATCGATTTGGGGCCCAAAATGCCGTTGATTCGACGTCATTTTGGTCCGCAATGAATCCTATTGGCCCTTTACATTTAGAGTGTAGACGAGGGAGTAGTTTTCCCCGGTGAACCGCGACATAACGAACACAGCTTCGACAGGAAGGGTGGGGATGTACTTTGATAGCAAGGAGTGGGTGTCATCGTCCACGCCAAAAACGTGACAGCATAAATTGTTTTGAGTTGAAACGGGGTTAAAAACTGGCTATATCATCAGGAGGTAGCGGGGACGGCACCTACGCCACTTGGTCCAGATTTTACTGATATTGAATACGTTAAAAAAAAAATCACCGAGTGTTATACATGATACCGCTTTGACGACGAGGCTCTCCGAAGGAACAGCGCATTGTCTATTTCTCATACACGGTGAGATCGACGGCTTGATCTCGCTCGCGGCCCTGTCTACAGTCAGTTCCGCCTGTCACTCGGATTCCCGCCGTAGCGCTTGTGACCCATAGCGCTTGCGACCCGTAGCGGTCGTGAGCTGTAGCGCTTGTGAGCCGTAGCGCTTGCGACCCGTAGCGCCCGCCGCTGTAGCGCTTGTGACCCGTAGCGCTTGCGATCTGTAGCGCTTGTGACCTACGTCGGCTGGAAGGAGACGCACTACCGCAGGGCACCAGCGAGCGGCCACCCACGGCCCAAAGTAAGACCGGTAAGCAGCGCGGCGCACGTGTAACTAGCCCCTCCCCCCACCCCGCCGAATCAAGAAAAAAAAACCAAAACAAACAATGCAAGCAGTCGAATTCCAGCGCGACCAGACGGCATTCGAGCCAAAATCGCGCCGTAGGGGAAACAGAGAAAAACAGGGAGGAAAACAATCAAAGGGCACCCCCCTCCTCTTTCCCACTCCCTTAGCCCCGGAGAAGGGAAACCATATAAAAGGGAACAACGAAAAACACAGGTCAGAAAACTTTAATTTATTCAGCGCCACACAGGGCGAGCGGAGGACGCGGAAGAGGAGGCGCTGCCACGGCACACAGCGCGGAAGCGCCGGACGGGGGACGCGTCGCGCCTTTCAGGGGACGCCGCTCGCCGCGAAGGGGCCCGCGACTCGGGACCAGCGGGGGACGACGCGAGCCGCAGGTGCGCCTCGCCGCGACGCTCCGGACCAGAGGGAGTCACGTGGCGCCGCACAGCCCCGGAGACGGAAGAAGTCCCGCGCCGGCGCGGAGGGGGCCGCGACACCCGCAACACAGAGTCCACGGAGCGGGGGGTCAGTCCGCGAGGCGCGGACGGCCCAGACCGAGGGACCGTCGAGCCGGAGGGGGCCGGCGCCGCAGAGCTAAATTCTGGAGCAGGCTCAGACGGGCCAGGCGGGGCCGACCGCGGCCACCGATCGGAGACATGCGGGACACCGCGCTGACGGGGCGTCGCGACTGCGAAACACAGGACAGAAGCGCGAAAATCGAGACGGGGTCAAGCAGCAATAGCTAAACAAGCGACGCATACTAGCAGTCCGTAGGTAGTAAATCGAGGCCCGCAGCCAGTCGAAGCGATCATCCGCCTCGTGGCGACTCTCCATCACCGTCTCCAGCTCCCCCTGAAAATAACAGCACCCCCTTCAACAAAAAAAAAAAAGAAAAAAAACACGGGGAAGGAAATACAGCAGAAAATCTCACGGCGCCCCTGCGCCGCGGCCGCTTACCAGTAACCAATCAAGACAGTCGGCAGCAGACCGGGAGGGCGGCTCGTTGAGCTGCGGCAGCATCGCGGGTGTGAGAAGCGGGGGAGGACCAAGAGGAAGGGGGCGCGGGACAAACCAGAAGCACACCCCACTGAGCAGGTTTCCCGAGCAACAATCACCACCCCGCAACAAGCACCCGCGGCATGGGCCCCAGGCTAAGAGAAGGCAGGCCGCAGGGGACGGAGGAAAAAAGCGCGAGAGGGTAGCGCCGGCGGGGTAGGCAAACCATTCGACGCCGGCGCACCAAGGGGTGCAGGGCGCCAGAATCGAAGGCGACCAGGTACTAGTCAGGAACACCGAGACACCGCGAGGGGGCGCGCGCTAAGGAGTGAACCACAAAAGCACCCCCACCCCCACCCCTCACCACCACTCCCCTTTCCACCGGTTCGCTAACATCGGGACACGGGTTTTTTTCCCGGTCTCGATGCACGCAATAGGCACGGCTAGGACCACGGGCGAAGGCACGGCCGCGAGACAGAGCAGGCGACCAAGCGCGGCGCGCAAATAAAATTAATGCTCGGAAAGTTTTTTTCGCAGTGGAACCGCCATTTCCCCCCTCCCCTTCCGCGCCCAGCACACACAAGGCCAGCGCGCCCGGCACAGCCAGCGCACCCAACGGCCACCCCCC